CTGCTGTTTCTTTTTGTTTCTGTAATAAATAAATAAAGTAAATAACCAACCAACCAACCAACCAAACAAACAAAGAAACAAACAAAAAATAAATAAATAAATAAATAAATAAATAAATAAATTGTGTTGTATATGCAGGGGACCTTCCTTTATTTCAGCAGTTTGCTGTTGCTGCTGCAGCACTAGCCCCCGATAGATATGTGGGTTTGGGTTGCCCGCTAGACACAGCAGCAGTTGCTGCTTCTCCGAATCGTTTTGCTGCTGCTGCTGCTGCAGCAGCAAACGAAGACACGCATAAAGATATACATAAACACCACCAACAGCAGCTGCAGCAGCAGCAGCAGCAACAGCAGCAGCAGCAGCAACTTATGACGGAGGTACTGTCGCAGCACACACTCAACGACGAAACTACACCCAGCAGCACCACCAACAACAGCCCCACAAACAGCAGCAGCAGCAGCAGCAGCAGCAGCAGCAGCAGCAGCAGCCAGGAGGATAAGGTTGCTTCTCAAGTGCAGCAAGAGCAGCAGAAGGAGCAGCAGCAGCAGCAGCAGCAGCAGGAGCAGCAGCAGCAACAGCTGCTGGGGAAGCCCCCTAGCACGACGCTTCCTCCATTAGCTGAAGCAGCAGCAGCAGCAGCAGCAGCAGCAACAGCAGCAGCAGCAGCAGCAGCAGAAAGTGAGGTTACTGGCGCTGCACTGGCAGCTATCAGTTCTTTAGGGGATACCTGCCCCCACCACCCAGCAGCAGCTGCTCCCCTCTCTCAGCAGCAGCACCAGCAGCAGCAGCAGCTGAAGCAGCAGCAGCAGCTGCTGCAGCAGCAGCAGCAGCAGCAGAGAGCTGCAGCAGAAGCAGCAAAGGGTGAGAGAGAGAGCGAAATCAGCTCCGCCTACCAAGGGGACGGCAGCAGCAGAACAAATTTGTCTCCTGCTGCTGCTGCTGCTGCTGCAGCAGCAGCAGCAAGACCAGCAGCAGCAACAGCAGAAACACCCACCATCACCAACACAGCAGCAGCAG